ACGCACGACCTCAAGACGCTCTCGCTGCACTACTTCGAGGAGCCCGAGCTGCGGGTGGGTGTTGCGGCGGCGCCTGTTGCGGGGTGCAGGGGTCCCTGGCGCCTGTTGCGGGGTGCGGGGGTCCCCCATGAAGTGTGCAGGGGTCCTCGGCGCCTGTTGCGGTGTCCAGGTGTCCCCGGTGCAGTGTGCGGGTGTCCCCGGCGCCTGTTGCGGTGTCCGGGCGTCCCCGGTGCAGTGTGCGGGTGTCCCTGGCGCCTGTTGCGGTGTCCAGGTGTCCCCCATGAAGCGTGCAGGGGTCCCCGACGCCTGTTGTGGTGTCCAGGTGTCCCCGGTGCAGCGTGCGGGGGTCCTCGGCACCTGTTGTGGTGTGCAGGGGTGCCTGGCGCCTGTTGCGGTGTGCGGGGGTCATCAGTGGGGTGTGCGCGGGACCCTGGCATGGTGTGTGGGGGTCCCTGGCGCCTGTTGCGGTGTGCGACGGCGCCTGTTGCGGTGTGCGGGGGTCCCCAATGCGGTGTGTGGGGGTCCCTGGCGCCTGTTGCGGTGTGCGACGGCGCCTGTTGCGGTGTGCGGGGGTCCCCAATGCGGTGTGTGGGAGTCCCTGGCACCCGTTGCAGTGTGTGGGGATGCCTGACGCCGTGTCCGGGGGTTCCCAACACCGTGTCCGGATGCCCCTGGCACCTCTTGCGGTGTCTGGGTGTGCCCAGCATGGTGTCTGGGGGTCTCTGGCGCCTGTTGTGTTGTCCAGGGGTCCCCAGCACGGTGTGCAGAGGGCCCCAACATGGTGTCCTGTGGTCCCCAACGCCTGTTGTGGTGTCCGGGGGTCTCCATCGTGGTGAGCAGAGGTCCCTGGCGCGCTGTCTGGGGGTCCGTGGCGCCTGTTGCGGTGCGTGGGGGTCCCCGTCATGGTGTGCAGGGGTCCCTGGCGCGCTGTCTGGGGGTCCCTGGCACCTGTTGTGACGTCTGGGGGTCCCCGACACGACATCCAGGGGTCCCCGGCGCCTGTTGTGGTGTCTGGGGGTGCCCACCACAGTGTTCAGGTGTCCCTGGCGCCTGTTGCGGTGTCCAGGGGTGCCCACTGTGGCACCCAGGTGTCCCCG